GCCTGTAGCGCTGCAGGGGGTTGTTGTGGCCAAAGTGCAGGACCCGGCACTTGGCCTTGTTGAACTTCATCCCATTGGAGTCAGCCCAACTCTCCAGTCTATCCAGATCCCTCTGCAGAGCCCTCCTGCCTTCCGGCAGGTCGACACTCCCTCCCAACTTGGTGTCATCTGCAAATTTGCTGATGATGGACTCAATCCCCTCATCCAAATCATCGAAAAAGATGTTAAAAAGGACTGGGCCCAGCACTGACCCCTGGGGGACACCACTGGTGACCGGCCGCCAGCTGGATGCAGCCCCGTTCACCAGCACTCTCTGGGCCCGGCCCTCCAGCCAGTTCCTGACCCAGCACAGAGTGCCCCTGTCCAAGCCATGGGCTGCCAGCTTTTCCAGGAGAAAATATTGTATTGCATACATTGTATCATGATTTTCTTCTTTATTGAATTTTTTTTGACTTAGATGAAATCTAGGCAGGTGCTTTTGCTAGATTGGTGCCATTTTAATTCATTGAAAAGTCTTGAGACAGCAGCCTGTGTTGTACAGTTTTCTTTTTGAAAAGCTTCATCTCATTATATAGCCAGTAGAAATGAGGAAGGAGGGTTTAAACAGAATTACAGGCATTTGATGCCTTTTTGATAATGGTAAAGCAGACAAAGGAGTTAATTTTATGTTTATGCCTTCTGAAATGAAAAAAAAAAAAAAAGGCAGGTACCTGATACTGTGTATATAGGGAAAAAAGCTACTTTCTGTCACAGCAAGATTGAGATCCTTGATGAAAGGACCTGGCTCTGAGGATACTTAGATGAAAAGAGCTGTGGGTAGAGTCAGGCAAGCAGATTGGAGGAGGTGATCCTCTCCCTCTACTCAGCCCTAGAGACCATGTCTGGAGTGCTGTGCCCAGTTCTGGGCTCCTCAGTACAGGAAAGACAAGGAACTACTGGTAAGAGTCCAGTGGAGGACCACAAAGATGATTAAGGGACTGGAGCATGTCTGTTAGGAGGAACAACTGTGAGAGCTGGGTCTGTTTAGTCTAAGAAAGACAGAGGAGATCTCATTAATGCATATAAATATCTCAAGGTGCCAATAGTGGTGTCTTGTCTTTGGTGCCCAGTGACAGGATGAGAAGCAATAGCCATAAACTAAAACTCAAGAAGTTTCACCTCAACATGAGGAAGAACTTTATATGATGGCGGCAGAGCACTGGGACAGGCTGCCCAGGGAGGTCTTGGAGTCTCCCTCTCTGAAGACATTCAAAACCCACACAGGTGCGTTTCTGTGTAACCTGCTCTAGGTGACCCTGCCTTGGCAGGGAGGCTGGGCTGGATGATATCCAGAGGCCCCTTCCAAACCCTAATAATTCTGTGATTCGGTGAAAATCAGTTATTTTAGTTGTTGCAGTATCCAGGTCCTGCATATCCGAATCTGTCCGGAGCCGGCCCGCACTGCGGTGCCGCCGCGCCCGCGATGCTCCCTCCGTGTCCCCTGGCCGCGCGCATTCTCGCCTGGCTCGGCCGCCCGCGGGAAGCTCCCGGCGCGGGGCGGGACGGGCGGGAGGAGGAGCCGAGGCCCCGCAGTGGAGCCTCCGCCAGGGGGCAGGAGCCGCCCGTCCCGGGGCCCGGAGCCTCCGGCACGGTGCGGGTGCGGCGGCGGCACCGCGCTGCTTTCTCGGGAGAGGTGGCGCATCCCCTGTGCAAGCCGTGCGCCCTCTCCAGGGAGCCCTTGGCCCGTCCCAGGGCTTTCTCGGTGCAGAAAGCCGCCCTGCCCGCCCTCACCTGCTCGGCGCGTCGCCGTGTACTCTGCAGCTGTGCTCCATCCGCCCGCATCCCACATCCCACATCCTAGACCCACGGAAGTGGGACCAGGCCTGGGTCAACCCTGGAGGGCACCCTGCTCCTGCCACCCGATACAACACACAACCTGCCACGGAGGGCAATGCTCAGAGTAAATTATCTGTTTCCTTGGCAAAAACTTGCTTTGATTCTTTTTTTTTTCCGTCTGGAAAATGAGGAAGCTATGTATACACTCTGACTTTGTCTAGAATGAGACCCTTTACACTCGTAAAGACTGCAGAGGCATTTTGGGGTTTCTGCCTGTGTTTGTGCTGCTCTACTTTCCCAGCACCACTGCTGTAAAGTGTTTCATTAAAAGCCAATACCTGCATCTAAATGAGTTGGTGGCATTGGTGGGCTTTATTTTGTTTTGCTTTACTTTTCCCCCTCAAATCTTGTTGAGGTGTAGGAAGGCCTTCTGCTCTTTCCCTACCCCTGAAAAAGATAATGTCAAGCAAAGTATGTAATATCAAATTAAACATGGCACTGAATATACTCTGACTAGTCATGGTAGAAAATTTGAGTTCTGAACAACAACTAGATGCAAGAGCCCAGGAACAGAAATTATTTGAGAAAAACTAGATCTGTGTACTGGATTAAGTCAAGGAAATTCTGGTAATGCGGCCCTAATGGTTTTCTCCTATAATGGATGCTTCTGAATTCTACTTATTGAAAGAAACAAATTTTAATTCAGGCTTACCAGCACTTGCAAAGTGTATGTGTGACAGAGCTGTAACCAGGTGAGATATTGCATATTGTTTGGAGGTCTCAGAGGATACTCTGAACTGTAGAGGTGAAGGTTTCTTAAAATTCCTGCCAGTGCCTGGAAAATCCACTGTAGTATTTGTAAGTTTAAAGTATTTTGATGGTTAGAAATATCTGACTTCTTTGAACTCTCCAGCTTAATTAAAAAATATAGAGAAACCAAGAGGAGGAAAATCGGCTTCCTTATGGCAAGATTAGATAAAGAGGCATTTGTAACAGGCCATGTCTCTGACTAAAGGTTTTGTGAGATTTGATTTTTAGCTTGGAGGTGTTTTCCTCCTGGTTCTCCCCCCCAAAACACACCCCCTCCCTTCCAAAATAAGAAGTGCAGAGTGTTCAGAGGCAGCAGTGGAACCTGTGTCTCTGTGTCTCTGCGGCAGCCGCATGCAGTTCCCATGCGGAGCTGAGGATGGCCTGCAAGGACAGCACCTCAGCACTGTGTTTGACAGAAATGGGATGTGCGAACACCAGCCAGCGAGGAATCACGTTATTTGTGACAGACACCTCCACCCACCCACACAGGACAGTGGCTGAGCACTGCTGAACATCCCCACTGCTGCTCTAGGTCACTTCCCTCCCCTGAAATTTGTAGGAAACAAAGCATTGGACAGTGACCTCCTCCCAACCCTGCAGATTTTCTATCAAATTACTCCTGTCATGGTTTGCATTTGTTGTAGTGCTTTTCTTCAGATAAATTTAGCTCTAAAATAAAGCTCTGAATTCCATACCCCAAGGTATGGACAATTTGAGCTGTTTGTTGTGCAGTGCAAATACAATAATGGCTAAAATATAGCTCCGTGTGTATTCACACATACAGAGGAAAAAATATATTTATAATAAAACCCACAAAAAAGCAGGCAGGGTTTAGCTGGAAAAATCTTCCAGTACTTGTGATAGTGATGTTAAATGATGCTCCCTGTTCAAATCCAATATTACAAGGACAGACCAGCTTGAAATTGTGCTTGATTCTGGACACAGAAGAGGAGGGTAATTTGTAACATATTGTGTTATTACCCTAAATTAAACTAAGAGACATCAGAATTAATTCATTGGTGTACACTTCAATTTTTGTTTAAAATGTATGGATGATTGGAAAGGAGCTCATTTACTTATGTCCTTTATGTTCCCCAAGCTTTCTTGGGGTACATACAAATATATATATATTTATAAATATTTTTATATATATATATTTACAAATATATATATATTTGTATGTACATATTTATGTCTTTTTTCATTCCAGGACTGGATTGACTGTTGGTGACAATTGTGATTTGTGTTCTCCACTTCTGTTAAGCAGGAGGGCATTTTTATGTATAATACTTCTTGCACTCAGAATCAGTTTAGCATCCACTCATTTCCTGTGTTTCTGAAGGGATAGCCTGGTGGCATGACTGTCTCTTGCTGCTGGTTCTAAAAGTATATACTCCACAATTCTAGCATTCCTTTAAGAGAGCAGGTAGTTATTCATGTCATGGCTAGGTCTCATTAATTATTTGCTGTCTATGTAAAGCACTCTCCAATTATACCACCAGGTACCTGTTGTTAAGCTACATTTATCTTTACCTTCATTGTGCTTTTGCTGTAGCAAATTCTCTTGCATCCCTGAGAGTTGCTATTTGTTCCTTGCTACCTAATGTTTTACAATCTCCTGACCTGATTTTTCCCAAACATCTTTGTATCACAACTAATAGGTCCTCAACTTTCTGTTTTTCTCCCAGACCACGTGGCCACAGCTGCAAGGAAAGAAAGCTACTGGGACACACCGTTTAAGAAAGACGTATCATATATTCCTTTTTTAGGGGAGTCTTCATTTTCTCAAACGTTAATTGCAATGTGTCTTTATAAATCTTGTTGTCTTTTCCCACAGGATTTGCAAATAGAACGAGAGAGGACCGTGTATAATATTTCTGGTGGCTGCACAGCCCTTGTGGTGGTGTATTTATTGGGAAAGCTGTATGTGGCAAACGCTGGTGATAGCAGGTAAGTGTGATGTCTTCCCAACTAGTCCTTCATCCCAGACTCCTGAGATCTGGTGTTACCATTGCAAACAGTTTCACAAGAGGATTCTGTTTCTTTTCTGAACACTTAACAGTTCTCCCAGAAATGAATACATATGCCAGTGATAGAGTTGGTATCTTGTCAAGTGGTGGTTGCAGCCAGGGAAGTTGACAACACTTCTGGTCCTACAGCAGTTTCTGAATGACTTGAGGGTTGCAGAGAAGTGGAAAGATGCTAAAAAGCCATTGAGAAGAGTTATTGGGTCTGTAGTAGAATTGTGTGTTGAACTCTGACAAGATGACTGCATCTGGAACAGCTGTGATAGGGCTGCATTTGTTCAGTAGGAAGTTCTGTGGCTCTTGTTGCCAGACTGAGTCTTCCTGGGCCACTTGGCTCTCAGATTTTCTTATAGCTGAAGGTAGTGATGTGTAAGCAAATAGCTGCTACTCTTGTAATGGGGATGGAGGAGAGGGAGACAGACAGTTCAGAGTTTTTGTTTTGTGCTATTCTGGCTCATGTACTTGTCCATTTCTCAGAACTGAATGGTGTTGTTCATGAGCTCTTGCTTTGTTGTATTTTGAAGTTGGATACCTGAAGACTCACAACAAGAAGCTTTTTCTTTGTCTTATGATGTTGCTAAAGATAGGAGCATACTGGAAGTCTCTGACTTGCATTCTTTTCCCCTCACTCAGTCTGCCCATACTACCGTCAGAGAGAGATAATTAGGCTCTTCTTGCAAGACTTCAGATCTTCACGTTTCTTTTGGCAGCACACTGCATGAACAGGACAGGGAGAATACTTCCCCATGGGATACAAACTGCTGTTGTATTCTGTTCACTAACAGCTGAATTAATTAAAGTCTGCAAAGGTACTGAACCATGTTTTGTTTAGGTGAAGACTGCTATGTTTATGCATTTGTGTTTAAGGATTGTGCACACATAGTTCATATTAGTAGCCTATACATCCATGTACTTGCAGAGACAACACTCAAGAGCAAAGAGTTTTGTTGTTCAAATATAACATTTTATTGCTTCTCGCTGCTTTAAAATGTGTAGGAAATCAGATAAGTACTTTGGGCATAAAATTCCTATTCTTTTCACTTTGGTGATTGGTTTTTAAGAGGTTAAATTTGCTGTATATGTTGAAAGTAGTTTACCCATTTCCTCTTGTCAAGTGAATTGGAATCTCCTCTTTGCATCAAATTGTCAAGTGATTCCTGACATGGTAGCTGCAAACATGTTTGAGGTGATAACCCATCCAGTCATCAGAACCACTAGCTGCATTACATTCTATCTCTCCTGCCATTAAATTAGAAATAATCATATTTGCTTGTGCTATTACACTTGAAGTAAAATTGAATCTCTTCCTTCAAGCTGGCTAATTTGCTTTATTGTCTCTTAAAAGTGTGTTGTGCAAAACTGGTCATGCAGGACTTACTTCTCAGTAGCTAAGATCTTTGTTCATGAATGACTGGGACTGGCTGCTTCCAACTCCTCCAGGATTCTTCCTGTGCTCCCCAAGGGCAACCTCAGCTCCACTGTAGCCTCTGATACCCAAGGGAAAGAAACTCCTGTTGGCGGTGATCTGGAGTTGGTGCCAGTGCATTGGCATAGCTGTAGTTAAAGACACTAAATCTTCAAGAAGCTTTGAATGTTCATTAAGTCCATCCAAAACATCTCTTCAGGAAAAGAGCAGGAATCAGAAAGGAAGCCATCAGCAAGGCTGGGTGTTGTTTGAACTCGGATTCAAATTTTTGTACTCGTTCCTCACATATTGTAGATAATAGAGTCCCTCTAGATCCAAAATAGTTTGGTTTTGCACTTTCCAAATGGACCTCATATAAAACTTTTCTCATGCTGAGGAGAATTGTCCCAAAATCTTTCATTTTCAAATAAGTCCATTCCTCGATTTTCCTAGGTCAAAACAAAATAAGAGCTTTAAAGTGTAGAAGATCAGTTAGACTGGCTCTCACTCCCACAAAATCCTCACTGACCCTCTTTCAGGGAAAAAAGCAGCTATTGCAAAAAAACATCCAAGTTGCTGTCATGACTAAAAGGACATTTTAGGACTAGGAAAGCAGGTCTGAGATTGTCTGCCAATTGCCATGGTTCACAATGGATTCATGTATTTTGAAGAGCCAGTTATGTAGTCAAGAAGTTTTATTTGTGTTAGTTGGAAAAATATGTTCCTTTTTGCTGTCTCATGCCTTGTGTGGTCAGCTCTGTGGTTTGTACAGATACAGGGAAGGGCGGTGAGAAATACAATAAGGAAACTACTTAAAGAAGTGTTTTGCTGCTCTTGAGAAGAAAGATTGGTTTGTTTTTTCACTCAAACAGGGGACTTCTGCTTGTTGCTGTTGAAACTAGATGCCGAAACCCTTAGTACTTTAGTTTCTTTGAGTTCACCTTATTTATGCCTCTCCACTCTCCTCATTCTTCTTCTTTCCTCTCTGCCACACTACTGAAAAAGGCTTGTAAATAAATCGAGTTGCACTTCTCACAAATAGGAGTGTGTGAGAGAAGGTTTTGTGTGGCAAGGGTGGGAAATAAACATTTTGCGTTCGTGCAAATCTTATTTGTACTGCCTCTCCCCAGAAGAAGGTTAGGTCTTTTAATTTCAGGCAACTTCAAAACAGCAGAAGCTTTTAAAGGTGGGTTTTGAACAGCTGCTTCTGTCAGAAGACCAAGGTATGTGCAACAAACTGTACTATCACAATGAGACTAAGGAAATGTTAAGTGTGAGACTTGAATAATAATAATGTACTGTGTGGTGCCAGCTATACCTCAGACTTATGTCTGTGGTATTCAGTTTATCCACCACAGCTTCTCAAATCTAATCATTTCATGCCACGTACCCTGGCAGTGTTGTATAGCAGCTGTCCTTTTGTAGTTGATGTGTAATTACATCATGAAAAGACTTTAATTACCATATTACTAAATTACCAGCCAGCAATCCTTTTAGGTTCAGCCCTAGCTCACTTCTGTATGGACTATTAGGCTTCTCCAAGCTGAACACTTTTGGTTGGTGTAAAAGGGAGGAAAAATTGTGCTAATTGTAGGTTTTGTTATGAACTATTATTGAGCCTGATGTTATGGCATCACTAATGTCAATGATATAATTAAACTTCTGCTAACGATGCAATCACAGTTCTGTAATAATTATATGTTAACTGCACATAATACCAGAACCTTACTAAAAATGAGGTGATGTATTGAAAGCCTGATAAAAACAACTTGGAAGGAACCGCTTTCATTCTCTGATGGCTGGTCTGATCATTCTTTGACTCTGCCATAAATATACCTACTTGTATGGTCAAAATTCATAACTGAATATCAGCCAAAGCTTTTTCTAATGTTTCTTTCTCTCTCTTCTTTTCAGTGATTACCATTGTCCATGCAAGGTTTTCTGATTAGAGACTGATAGTAGTATAGTCAGCTATCCAATATAGAGTGCTTTTCTGGTCAGCATTGAGGTGCTGTGTTTTTCTTACCAGTTTGACTTATATATGGAAACTATGGAAGCTATGGAAACTAGGCCAGGCTATTGGAATAGCTGCTTTTTTAAAATATGGAATAGTAAGTCTTCTCTGGTCATTGTTTCAAATAGTATTGTTCAATTTTATATTGCTGAAGTGACTTACTTCTAAACTGCTGTAACATGCCTTGTTAATCTCAGTTCTTTTTAGTTTTATGCTCCTTATTAGGATGTTGTTTTATAGCTAGTGATGAAGCAGTAGTAAAATAGAGACTTAATGGTTTACTGATTAGTGCTCAATTATTGTATAGCCTCATGCAACACAACATTTGCCCAATATCACTACAATGACAGTTAATATGATCATATTGCATTACAGTCTTTGGCATGAGTGTTGTTCTGGCATTTGTGTTGTCTGGCTAAGGAGCTGCTCGGAGACTGCAGGCACTTCCATTTTGTGCTGTGCTTGGAGCCTTGTAGTATATCTGTGCTTTTATCATCATAAAAGAAGCAGAACACTGCAAGTTGATTTGACTTTTCCATACGCCCTGAAACACTCACTAAATCTGCAAATGGGTTCTGGGCTTTTTTGATTTATTGGCAGAACATGGCATCAAAGCAAAGAGCCTGATGTTCCAAAGGCTTTACAGACTTGCAGGGTCACTGAATTTTTTGCTTAGCTTCATCAGCTCTCTTTTTGTCATCTTTTTGCCTCCTTGCTTTTGCTCCCCTGCTTATGTTTTCAGGGCATATTCACACTCTGCTTGAACATACATGCCCATGTCCAGTATAGATTTTTCTGTTTGCCATTTGGTCTTATTAAATGATAGGAGCTTGTTGAGTGAATGTTTTTGTGGTGCTTCCATACGGATGCAGGTAAAGCAACTTCATTGGTACTTCAAGAGCCTTGATGTGGGAGAGCGTGTTTATAACACAGTCTTCTCCCAGTGTAATTAATAAAATAGTGAAATGAAAATTGAATTTGTTTACCATTTCAGTCCTTTCTGGATTTGCTGCTTGTGTTGAAACTCACTACATTTGTGTATCCTCTTTGTCATGGTGCTTGTCAGCTACTTCTCTCATGCTTGGTTCTCATAGTAGGAAGTCAAATTTGGAGCATTAATTTGCTTTTATGAAGTAAATGAGAGGGGCATGGAAACAGCCACGTATCTGCTGACTGGCACTGCAGCTTAAATAGAATTTCTGAGAAGTAAGAATTGATGAATCTGACCCATATTTGTGGTTTTTGTTATCTGACCTCTTCCTCGAGGCACTCCAACAGGGTTGTTTTTGCCAGAAGCGATAACACTGTGTAAGGATGGAAACTAAAAAGTGAAAATATTGCTATAGTAGAACTAGTTTACTTTAGTCTTTGGTTTACTGTCTTTCTAGAAAGCTTTAATTTTCTGGTTTTTGTAACGACCCATTTTCTAATCTAAATAGTGTGTATTTTCCCTGTTTTCCTTGAGTGGTCTGCCTACACCTTCTTTCTTACACCTGTGTCTGCA